AAACAGAAGGTAAGGGCATGAATATGATTTTATGTAATTGTATGATTATTATTTTTTTGGTGTATTAAAGTTTGTGATTTTTTGAATTATGGGAGATGGGCTTGAGCTTTATTGACCTATTCAACTCTTAGTTATGGCCTGAATAAGGATATGGTCTTTTGTGTACCTGTTTAATCTATCCTATGGATGCCCTGTTGTGACTGATATATACCCTTTTTTATGCATTGGTAAGGATTAATATTTCTATTTGATTCCACTGAAACAGCCAAAATGTTTTAATTTTTTAAGAAACTGAAATGAAACACCAATGGAATACCAAAATTCTATTGTTTCCATTAAAACACAATAAAACCCAATGCAATATACTGAAACCATAAGTTGTGTCAACATGAATTTAGAATGTCATGAAAAGAAAATTAGTATTTTTGACTTCTTAATGGCTTTTAATATTTATGACTTATTTATCACTTTTCGTGTAGGCTATGTAAACCTAAATTTTAACCACATTCCAGGCTAGGTGCTGTACCACTCCGTTTTTTCCCCACTGATAGTGATCAATCATTTCATAAAGTTGTTTGAATTTACAAAACTGGTTTGCTATTTTTTGATAATTCATAGTTGGCAATCGTTATGATTGTAGAAGGCTGAGTTATTTGTCATTATGTTAATCAAGGCATATTTGGCTTTTTGGAGACTCTTATACATGTTTTATGGAACAGGTGGAGCAATAGCAAGTTGCAAGTCATTGTTGGTACGGTATGTACAGATGGCATTTTCCTGCCAATAATTTTATAGAAATCCTGCCTATCATTTTGAAACATATACTTCTTCTACAGGTAGCATTTGGAATGGGAATCAACAAACCAGATGGTTAGTATTTTACCTGTCTATACTTTTGATCTATTGCTTCTCATATGAAATGATACATCGATACATGAAAGCGACCCTAAAAATGTGTTTATTTCATTATTTTGATAAAGTTTCTAATGTGCATATGAATATTATTGCCCTGCTTATTCCAGATTTAAAATTTTATATACGTTTTAGTCAGGTTTGTCATCCATCACAGCCTAAGCAAGTCGCTAAGCCTATTATTTCCTTTCTTTCTTTCTTTTTTTTCCCTCTCATTTTTTATTTTACTTTCAGAGTGAGGATTGTAAGTTCTGATAAAAAATAAAACAAATTATGCTTTCAGCTTTGCCAGTTAAACAATGCTGAGATTGGCTCAATGAGGTCTAGAAAGAATTTGTAAAAAAAAAAAAACAGTAAAGAGGTCTAGAGTAACAAAAGTCAGTTTTAAGCCAATTGGTCGTTTTGATTTTTCTTCAAATATTTGGTTTTGGAACTACATTAATTCAGTAGACTATCTCTATTATTAGTTAGTCATCTTGGAGTAGTGAGTGATGGCATAAACTTACTTTATGCTTGAAGCAGTTTAAACTTGCTTTATACTTTTAATTGGATGATTATGCATAATGGTACCCCATAAGTGAAGAAGAAGGTGGTTTCACTATCAACCCTTAATGTTTGTTTCAGCTATTCAAAAATAGGCACTTAATATGGAAAGAAGGTTTTTGAATTTGTCCTATATGGCAAGAAATTATTTTAGAGATACATTTATAACCAGCGGTTCGGAGCAATCCTAATCAAAATCTAAGGGCCAAATACATAACATTGTCTGCCTTTTGGATTCCTGCTAATGAGTACCAAACACACCTCCCTATCTCTCTCTCACAGACGTCCTCCTCTCTCTCTCTTTTATCCTCATTTCAAATTTTAATCTCCTTCTCTCTCTCTCTCTCTCTCTCTCTCTCTCTCTTCTACCCACTCTTCCTTCTTGGCTTTACCTATGGCAACTTGGTTAAGATTCGAGTGCAGTGTTTGATCAAATGCAAGGTAGATCGGTCGACACAACCAGCGAGAAAGAGATCGGTATCCTCTTCAAATTTTTCCTCTCTTTTCTAGGCATATCTAGGGTTTCTCGGTTCAAATTTTTTTTTTGCCGCTGATTGTTCTTTTTCAGCTTTTTTTGTTTTGTTTTATGTGTGTCTTTGTAAGCATTCACTATGTTCTGTAAAATGCCTCACATAGGTCTCTGAAATATTTTTCTAAAATGGGTCTCCAAAATGCCTCAAAATTTTTATTTGGGTTTTCGTTGGGTGTCTAAATTTTTATGTCATTTGTTTCTCATTTGGGTTTGATTGTGTTTCTCATTTATATTATGTGATTTGTTTCTCATTTATATTGCCTCAATTAAAATCTGTCTCTTTACTCCTTTATATTTTGTGTGTGTCTTCATGCATATACCATGTTCGATAAAATGCCTTAATTAAAATAGTTTAATTTTTAATGCTAGCTGTTTATATAATTCTACTTTTTTTGTTGTTAAAATAGTGAGTGAATTTATTATAACAGGCCAAGTAAATGTAGTGTATGGCGGTAAGGTTTAACAAAAATAGAGGTATATTCAAATCGGTGATACAAACAGTGGGAGTTGAATGTTATTTTTAATAATACAGTAGGCAAATTTAATAAAAAAACAAACAAAACAAAAAATTGAAAAAAAATCTTCTAAAAGGTTCATTAAAAATAAAAAAGTCTTTCGTTTTTTTCTTTCCATCTTAGTTGAATATAAAAACGTAATATTTTCTAAAAGGCTACCTATAATTTTTCCTTTTTTATTTTGAAAATTTTTGCTAGACTCGAGAGTATTTTGTTGCAATTTCTACTTATAAAACATAAATAAATTAAATAAGTTTAAAAAAATTGAACATAAAAATTGAAAGTTGAGAAATAATTGCATTTACCTTTAGTGCCCATTTCCCAAAATAGGCATATTTCTCTTTCATCTTTATCCCAAATAGCATCCAAGGGGTAAATTCACATGAATATTATAAAATTTTATGTTCCGCAGTTATCTTAGTAGTTTACATGGATTTTAATGTGTACTATTTGGGCGTTGTTTTTATATATTTTTGAAGGGTGACACTTTTACCAAGTAAATTTTAAATTTTCTACTTTTTTCCACGATACGTACTATGAAAGATGTCATGTTCCTAAATACTCCTATCTAGACTTTGTCCCTAAATAATTTTTTGAACGATGTCATGTTCCTAAAGTAATCTTTCTTTTTTAATCTTCTTCTTTATTCATTCTAAATACTCTACCACTGTTGGTTGGATATGAATATATACGAATATGCTAGTTTTGATGCTCATTTTCTTTGGAAAAATTCACAATAGTTTAAAGTTTGTAATATTTTATTTACCAGTGTGAGCACTTCCAAATTGAGGCATGAGTTATACTTATAAAGGTAAATTCATGATTTAATTGTTAAGCTTCGTTGGAGGTTTTATTTAATATGATTTGAATTTTCTGGCTAGAGGATCATGTATATTTTTGGATCTCAATTAAAATATTATATTGTCCTTCGTATCTCTTTTATTTTTATTTTGTATTTTTTAACCTTTATAATTAACATTGTTTCCAACTGGTTTGTTTTCTTGATGGGAACTCAAAACAACATATTCATCCAAAAATGAATATTAAACACAAGGTAAACTTTAATTGCTTTTTGATTTTTTTTTTTCATACTCATTTTATAAATTTGAATTTAATTATTTGTCGGTTTACAATCTTCAAAAATTCTTTTCCATTGTTTAGTCATGATGTGTAGGCATAAAAATAAATAAGGTAAAATTATAACATTTTTTTTAAATATTTGGTCAGTCATGTAACTTTTCTTTTCTATGAACAATACTCTCAATGAGTTAGAAGAGTGTAGGAATAGCCTAGACTCTTGCATTGGGAAAAAATACACAGATTAGTAGGTACTTGGATTATTTTTCTCTTACAAGGTTGTCTTCCACTATAAATTGAATTTTGTTTTATATCATGGTTTTAGTATTGAATTTTGCTTTTTGTTTGGTTGTTTTCTTTTTCTTATTGTATCAAACATAATGTTTTCACTACAATAGGTTTTTAGGTAGCTACAGTTTGGAGGTTTGTATGATTTGTTGTCATTCTCAATTTCACTCTCTATGCTATTGTTCTCTTTCTATTCATTTATCTACTTTAATAGTGCAGACACATGTCTATTCACTTGAACATGGAATGACAGGTTTCAATTGACCATAATAGCTGCATTGCTTTAAACGGTGATGTTGGCATTTGCAATAGAGTTTGAAGTTATTATATTGCGTTGTGGATATCTCAACATTGAATCATGTATCATATCAATTCTCTTTTATGTAGCATGCTACTTTCTGTCTACCAAGTTACTAACCTAACTTTCACAATTTGCATTAATTTCTCACAAGCCAGTGGAAGCAAGAGCAAGATGGTGATAATCATGATCATGTTGCTTAGAGCTTTAGAGCCTTGAATAGATAACCATAAGTGATGATGTACTTGGATGAAGATTATAACTCTGTTTTGTCATCACTTGAATTGTGACGCTTTGTGAATTTCGGAAATTTAGGAATCATTGTTATTACATTGTTCTGTACTTTGTATCATTGTCCAAGTAGAGAGATTGGACAGTTGTCTCAT